CATTATAAAATGAAAATGTTCAGATTTTACAAAATGATTAACAATTTGCTTAACCTATCTAATTGGTCTCATGCCAAAGAAGTTTTAATAACATGAATGTAAAATATTTCGTTGGATCGACCAAGCAAGCCGTGAGGCTCATGGTGCCAGAGTTTGTAGCCTCTTTAGGGGAAAAAGGTAAAATTTCATTTTCAAAGGAAACAAGAGTTTGCAGCCTCTTTAGCTTTCTTCAAGGGAGCAAGTTGTGATTATTTTTAATGGGGGAAAATGGACGAAAAATCGATGTGAAAGTATGAAACCCAAATTCAATCACACGCCGACGCTAAAGTAGACATTACACACTTTCTGGTTGCCAAGAAATGGAACTAAATACATATAGAAAATATATGAAACTTGAATTTTAACAAACAAAAAAAAAAAGGAAATCTGAAACTTGATGATCTATCACAGAAACAAACATAAAAGCCATGATATTGTCACAGCATAACTCGAATCTCTTTCCTTTTTTTAAAAAACGTAGCTTCAAAATAATCTATTGAAACATTTCATCGAAAACCTTGCCATGCAATAAAGTACGTAGACGTGTTTGCGTTTAGGTCTGGTTTGGGAGAATGACAGAGGAAGAGACGATTTGGGTTTTCACCAGAAGGAGAAGAAGAAGCGGTTTGAAACAATTCAACAACCACAACTTTCATAAGCTCACGACAAAACTTGAGGACAAATTTCATAATTTCTTTCCACATCACATGAATCTCCCTGGAAAATGCTTGGGGAAAAACAAGTAAACGAATATAAGGAAAGGTTAAGTATTTGGTAACTTTTTCCATCTTCGAATACAGTTTGAAGCAAAGGCTTTCTCTGTTTTTTTTTGTGTTTGTCACTGACTCACTGTTCAATTGGTAGAATGACTAACTTCAGTATATGGTTTTATTAGTCCTAATTTCGAAAACCTATAACAACGTAACTGTCTTAGTTCTTATAGCTTGAAAAGTTTCTTATAAGCTTAATGAGTGATTGACAATTTTTTTGTGGTTTGACCCCTAGTTACTACTTTGATTGCCTTGCACTTGAGGTAGAATACATATATTTTAAAAATTTCAATAAACATTCTTTAAAATGTCATGTTTACAACTTGAGAAAGTTCAGAAATCAGAAAATTCTTCTTTCCTCTTTAGTTTTCTTCCTTTGTTTTCATATTTGTGTTTCATCGGGAGAAAATTAAAGAAGAAGAAAAATCTTTAAGCAACAACTTTAGTTCCTTGGCCACTTGCACCATTTTTGGAACTTCACCTCTAAGACCGATGCATCTTTCTGAGAGGAGAAGGAAAGCCTCCATTTTAAAACGCTCTTCTTCTGAAACATGACCCATTATCTCTAACATCTTTGGATCTACGCACTCATCAATTCCTCTCTCTCCAACGGATTGTGACAGTGACAACGATCTTGAATTCCTATTTGATATACTTTTCGAATCACGGAGTTGACGAAATCTTTCTTCTCCTGTAAGAAGCTTTTGCATGAGAATTCCAAATCCGAACGCATCAGTTTTCTCTGAGACTACGCCAGTGGCAATAAAAGCATCATCAACGTAATCAAACCCTGCCCTTATGGAACCAAGCTTGACAAATGTTTCTCCTTGTGGAATTGAGACACAGTTAGAGAAATCACTGAGCTTGGCGACACCATCTTCGTCCAACAAGATATTCCAAAGATCCATATTACTATATACGAAAGGCCTTGAGAAGGCGGTGTGAAGATAAGCTAAAGCAGTTGCAATATCATGTGCTATCTTCATTCTCTTTCTCCATGACACTACCGCTTTTAGATCTATACGATAATATTGTTTCTTTTCACCATAATAAACCATGAGTGGAACTTTAGTTTCAAGACAACATCCTACCAACTTCATGAAATTCTTGTGACCACTAACCATCGATGATATAGCTATGTCACGGACCACGGGGCAAAACCCTTGAGGGTTAGATTGCTCTGTGCGCCATAATATAGGGACGAGTAGTATCATGCGTTGGTTATCTAGGGTACCTGAATACCAACCGCCATACTTAGATAAGTCAGATACAAGAGTACACTCGCAGACAGTTGGGTTTTGTCGGGGGAGACTACACTTGCAAACATTGTCGGTTGCTTCGAGGATCTGATCAGCAGAGAAGATTTTGATTGGATTGGATTTTCCATCGCAATATTCGGTCAGATCTTCTAACAACATCGCCCCTTTCTCTCTGCCTCGGATCAACCTCGAATTTTTTTCATTGGCTCGTGATTTCTTCCTCTTCCACCAATCCATCTCAATACAAAAAAAAAAAAACTTTCGTTTGGAAATGAAATGACCAAGATCGAAGACCTCACACTGTAAAGGAAGAAGAACATTTAGATAAGGTATATATAGACAAGGTTTGCTGTTGAATATTCCACAGAGACGTCCTTCTAAAGGAAAAGCTCACCACAAAACCTTTTTTTTTTTTAAACAGCACGACAAAACTTGAGGGGCTTTCCAATTTTTATTATTTTTTAATTTACCATTCAAAGCCGTCTTGAATGATAGTTTTAACCCATTTTAGAGAGAAACCAAAATTTAATTTATAATTCGTAAAAGTATGGAAGAATGTATTTATAGAAAATACGTC